ACTTGTCTTCTACCTCAGACGGAAAGACACCACATCTGTCCTAAAGCACATCTGGGATATGGACAAGGAACAAGGCAGAGGGGCGGGAGCTCACGTCCCTCTACCTGGGCTCAGGAAGTGGGCAGCTACAGGGGTGACGTGGAAGGGGAAGGTCATTGTCAGCAGAGTGGAGAGGTGGTCTCTGTCCGCCCTGTGACCCTCCCCAGCCCCCCTGCACAGCCTCACCTTGGGGTGTCCACTCCCTTCCCACTTCCCTACCTGCTCGATTCCCTCACGCTTTCTAGGGACACAGCGTTGTGAGTTCAGTGGTCTGTTGAAGTCAGGCCAGGACCCCCTCATTTCCTAACCTCCTCTGTGTATCTGAGTGACCGAAACTCCCCTGGTCAGGCCTCGGGAGTTGACAGGCTAAGCTGACAATCTACCCAGCTTCCGTGGCTGGTGTCCTAACGACATGCTCAGACCATCCACACCAACACGGAAGGCAGGAACCGTGTGCTACAAAGAACAAAGGTCTGGCTGGGAAGAATCTAGAAGGAGCCTCTGGTCTAGTTGTGAGGACTGTACCGTCCAGCTGCTGCCCAGAGGGACACAGAGCTGCACAGAATCCTGGACAGCCTCCCTCTCACTGGTCAGCAGCAGCGTGATCCCTGGGCTCTGTCGCCGTGGGAGGGCACGGGAGGTGCTCCCACCCCTGGTTCAGGATGGTCACATGCCTCGGGGCTGCCCTGAGCCGAGCTGCCAGCCGACCCCCCTGCTGGATGTCCTGCGCTTCCCGGGGAGCGATGATGCCACCACTTCTCTTCCCTGCAGGGCGTAGAGGCATTGTGATCTAAGATTCTACCACACTTCTCTGTTCCCAAGTCAAATATAAGTTCTGATCGCCGTTTAGTTCTGTCATCAAAAGAAACCCACGTAATAATGTCACCCTGTGCAACAAGGACACTTCATTGCATGCACCCCGTTGGGGGGCTGCTGCTGGACCCCATGGCCTGTGACCTGTGGAGCGGCTCAGCCCTTCCTGTGTCTCTTCCTTCTGATGGTCCTTCTGCGGTTTCTTCCTTGTGCTTGTTTTGATGTTGGATCGGTTGTGTATTTCCCGCCCACGGCTCATTTGAAAGGCTGGAGAGAGCCATGGCAACAATCCAGACTGGATACTGAAAGAATCCAGATTTGTGTCTCAAACCTATTATTTAGAGACAAACATACTGAAAAAGCCAGTGTTTGTCAGCATAACGTCGTCATCCCCCGAGTTCTGTGCACGTCAGACTGACGTCGTGAAGGTGGAGAAATCCTGCATGATTTTTGTTTAAACTGTTTTTTGGGTTTCCTAATGGTAATGGTTGAGGATAAATTGAAACCGTCTGACTCAGGGGAGAAGAAATTCACACGCACGACATTTCTGAAACTTAACGGAGACACTGAAAGGGCCCGTGGGCCCGTCCGCTGAGCGGCCTCTGCCTGTAGGGCCCAGACTACATGCTCCACCTCAATGTCCAAACTCCGTGACTCTACCGCAGGGCGGGCACCGGGGCCCGGGCCGGCCAGCGGCTCCTCATGTCTGTCACCCTGGCCTTGCAGGGCTCAGGCTTCCAATGGAAAACCACAGAGAGAACACTGGGATTCTTGGGTCTCTTCCCCTAACCCTATCTAAACAGTCACGGTCTTCCGTATCACGTGAAGCTCCACTGTTTTCATCAGTGCCCCTTCCTCTGGTGGCACACTGGGCACGTGAGGAAGGAGCCCCGCTGAGTCCTGAAGTCCTTGCGGCGGCGTGTTCATCTGCGGAATGTTGGGGCCCCGGCTTTGGCCCCTGAGCCGCAGAGGTGAGTCTGGCCCATGCTTCACGCCCACTCCCGCAGGGGACCCACGGCAGTACGAGCCCCGGCACGACGGACGAAGAAGCATAAGGGTACGTTGCCCAGAAACCCACAGCCAGAGGTAGAATTCCCAATGCTCACCGCAGGTGATTTTGGTCCCTGGGGGAGGCCGGTGCGTGGTGGCTCTTTAGAGCCTGCCTGTGGCCGGGAGGACTGACAGTCACCCTCCAGCGGCCCACATCTTGAGGAGCTTTTGCATAGGTTTTCAAATAGTTCAATGCCAGTGACTTGAGAAATTCCATTAACCTGCAAGGAGTTCTGGCCACTGGCACGGTTCCACCCACCATTCCCACTTTTACCAGGGGCGGCCGCGCAGCCACAGACGACGTGGAGCGAGGGGGTCTGGAGGAAGAGCCACACCTTGGGGGGCTGTGTCACCAGGCACTCCACGGCTCCCTAGCCTGTTCCCAGATGGGCTCCTGTGCCCGGCCCTGAGCCATGGGCTCAGCCCCAGTGTGTGCCCAGCCAGCATGCGTGCAGGGCGCTTCCCCCCGCGGGGCCTTCACCGGGCGTGCCCTCCCGGTCCCTGCACACATTCCCCAGGAGGGCCAGGCCCCCGGTCCCCAGCTGAGGAGTGACCTGGGCCGGCCGGCGTGCACTCCTACGCTCCAGGTCGATCTTGGCTTGATGCCTGCAACAGCGGGGGGTGAACTCAGCTCTCGCCCCCCCACCCCCATTCGCCACCCAAAGCTGGGAGGCCCGTCGGAGACAGCGGCGCTGCCCTGCTTAGCCCAGAGGCTTCTCGGCCTCCCACTGTGGGGTGGCGAGGCTGCTGGTCGAGCACCATGGCTGCTGTGTCTCCGGGGGGCCGGGCAGCTGGGAATCGAGAGGGGGCGGACCAGGAGCCCAGGGCCCAGAAAGGTAAAGGCTGCTCCTTCCCTGGGTGGCACGCTGGGGGCAGGGGACTGTCACAAGCTCAGAAATACAGCAAAAACCAGTCCTTATTTGGGACAAGTGAACTGAAGATAACCCCAGGATTGAGGCTGTGGAGAACGAACTGAAATTACCTAAAAGTAGAATGTGGTAGGAGGGGAAGAGCTTCGTAAATGGGGGGCCGCTGCCATGTTCCGCTTCTCGGTTCTAGCAGGAGCCAGGAGGGGACACGGGCCTTCGTTTCCTGTTCCCTCCTCCATGCGTCTTCTCCTTCCTGAGCTCTCCAAGAGGATAAGTCGTGTTGCACAAGAGGAAGTTAAGAGAAAATCATAAAAATAACACATATCGCCTGAAGGCGATTTCTTCTCTGACGCATCTTGCAGAATCTCCCAGGATGTTGCTTGTGCTTCTGTTTCCAAACGTACGTTCACGTTCCTGTCGTGGTTGGTTCCTTGCAGGCACGGCGGTGCCGGACTCTGAGTCACCCGCATGGAGCAGCCGGGGCCTGGCCGGCCCCCAGGGGCTGCTCCTCCAATCACAGCCCATGAATATAAAAACCCAAGTGTGTAAACTGAGAGGACAGTGTGACTTTCATACCTTCAGGAGTTCCGTAGAACGGGATTGCCTTCAGCTCTTGAACCCTCGAAGCCTCGGCCAAGGACACGGTCTGCCTTCCGCTCAGACACGTCCCCCGTATTTCCAATGGCGCTCTCCGGGTCGGGTTTCCTTCTTTTGCTGCTCTCTGGGAGCACACGTGTCTTTATACTGAAGAAAACGATGTGTAGGAGTTACCGAGAAAGGGGACGGTATTTGTTCCATACAACTAGCGAGGCTCTGTAAGATACGGCAAACCTGACTTGCAGGCACTTAGATGTGTTAGATCCTAAGAATGTGCTGATTTGCTGTGGGGGCAGCCAGAATTTTACTGACGTGTGGGCGCCCAAACCTCGTTTACCAGCCAATGCCTCTCCTGAGGGAACAGCCTGACACCCCTCGCGGAGACCCCAGGGACGCTGACTCTGCCGTCCGTGAGCAGGTACCAGGTGCCAGTCAGCACAGCCCATTTCGTCGGCACGTTCATAAACCAGAGCGATTCTTCCTCGTTTTTTTTTAATCACAGAAACAAGAGGTGGATGTGGCCATGGCGTGGGGTTAACCAAACCCAGTCCGAGGGCTGGGGGAGGGGGCGTCTCGGAGCCACGGTTTAGTACCTGCATTTGGAATATCCATGAAGCAGCCATGCCTGGAGAGAGACACATGTCCCGAATATTCCCTGAGCATGAAACAGAATAGTTTTGGGTGAAACATAGGGTTTTTGTGTAATTTTTAACATGACAGTGTTTTAGCAAGCTGTCCTAAATCTTTTTCTGTGATTGGACATAACGCTCCTCATACAGTGTTTCTGCCCGCTCCCGAGGCTGGGAGGCAGGCAAATGCCGCGGTGCCGGGGTCCCTAACCGCGGCTGCGAATGGCCCCCAGGTGTGCCCCCAACGCCAGGCCTGCCCTTCGCTGGCACTCGGTCACTGAACACTCTTCCCTCTGTCTCTCTCAAACCCGCGATGCACACTCGGGAGCCACTGTGGCTTAGAGGTAGCTCTAACCTCCTCCTGTGCGTTCCCACTGCTTCACTGCGGACCGTGGGTTGTCTGTAAGGGAGAACATTCGGAAGAGCTGAATTCGGCCCAAACATGTGCTTCTGGTACTGAAGGCCCCGTGGAGGCGGAGGGCTCACTGCATAAGCCCAAGGCCTTCCACGGCGCTGCCTGGGCATCTTTGGGAAAAACCCAATTTAAAAGGAATTGCTGCGAACATCTGTTTAAGAGTTGTTATCGACTGAAGTTCATGAACCCTCAGAGACCCTGGTAATAGGACGAGTGTCATTATCACGCATCTGCTTGGGCTGCAAACAAATAAAGCCGATAAAAAACAAAAGTCACTTGTAAAATTTAGAATGAAAAATTAATATTTTAAAATTATCTTTCCCACATACACTGGTTTGTTTCAGAATAACTAAGGAAAATGATAGTTTGTAGCAAGTGCTTCCTGTGGCCTCCCGGGCTGGGCGGCCTCCGCGCCCTCGGTGCCGCACTGCCAGCCGATCTGCCCGCGGGACCTAAGTCCCTCGCATGCGGTGAGCGGGGTCGGACGTGCATTGACTTGCTTTCCATGCTGTTGCAACTAAACTTCAAGTTCTAGCCACTTTTTCCTTTTCTTTTCTTTTTTGTCCCTTTTTTTTATCTTCTTTGCAGAAGACCATCCAATGAGCTGTCACAATACTCGAATAATGCAGGACACAGAGAAGGACGACAACAACAATGAGGAGTACGACAATTACGACGAGCTGGTGGCCAAGTCCTTGCTGAACCTTGGCAAGATCGCCGAGGACGCGGCCTACCGTGCCAGGACGGAGTCGGAGATGAACAGCAGCAGCTCCACCAGCCTGGAGGACGGCAGCGACCGGAACGAGACCCTGGGCCGGAAGAGCGAGCTGAGCCTGGACCTGGACAGCGACGTGGTGAGGGAGACGGTGGACTCGCTGAAGCTGCTGGCCCAGGGCCACGGGGTGGTGCTCTCGGAGAGCCTCGGCGACAGAGCGTACGCAGACTCCCTGTCGCAGCAGGACGGCAGGAACATGAACTACGTGATGCTGGGCAAGCCCGTGAACAACGGGCTCGTGGACAAGATGGTGGAGGAGAGCGACGAGGAGGTATGTCTGAGCAGCCTGGAGTGTCTCAGGAACCAGTGCTTCGACCTGGCACGGAAACTGAGCGAGACGAACCCACAGGACCGGGGCCAGCCGCAGAACATGAACGTCCGCCAGCACGCCCGGCAAGAGGACGACTTCGCGGGCAGGACGCCGGACAGGAACTACTCCGACATGATGAACCTGATGCGGCTCGAGGAGCAGCTGAGCCCCAGGTCTAGAACTTTCTCCAGCTGTGCCAAGGAGGACGGGTACCACGAACGAGACGACGACACCACCTCCGTGAACTCAGACAGGTCCGAGGAGGTGTTTGACATGACCAAGGGAAACCTCACCCTCTTGGAGAAGGCCATCGCTTTGGAAACAGAGAGAGCGAAGGCCATGAGGGACAAGATGGCGATGGAGGCCGGAAGGCGGGACAATGTGCGGTCGTATGAGGAGCAGTCGCCGAGACCGCTTCCCGGGGAGGAGAGGAAGCCTAAGTCCAGTGACAGCCATGTCAAAAAGCCATACTATGGTAAAGGTAATATTTCTACCTAACGTAAGTTGCCTCACGAACGTAGGAGCTAGGGTGAAAGATGGTGATGGTCCACCAGGGACGTGGGCATCACACTCGCTCATGTCACAAATGCACATCCCTTAGGGTTACTTACAGCATTACAGCTGGTGTTTCTGGGAAGCCAATACAATATTTGTCTGGGAAATGCACAGAGCAGCTCACTGTGCGATGACCAGAGCAGACGAGTCACCCGTTACTTCAGCAGGAGACGCTTGCATTGGAGAGACTGGGCTAGAGCACGGGCACGTCCTGTGATAGGAAACAGTAGCACAAGCCTGTGTTCTCACACATGAGCCACAGTCCGTGTGGAGTGTCAAGGGCTCACCCAGCAGGTAGCCAGTCAGGGATGAAACACGTGTTGTATATATTGGGTTGGGTCAGTGGCATCATGATTTATAAAATTATCACCAAATGACAGTTATTGATGAAAACCGCCCACAGAAAACATCCCTGGTAGAAACTGAACAGTAGCGGAATGACCGATAGCACAGGGCAAGGGCAACGATGCACGTCAATTATTGTAAGAGAGTAAGTAGTGGGGGCCGTTTGCTACGTCAGGCGTGGCGGGTCCGAGCCGAGATCAGTAGCGATTTCTTTAGTCTCTTCATTCCCGCTCACTGATTCCATCCCATTGTGGAAAGAGTCATGGCACGTACTTCATGTTAAAACACTCAAAATCACCCCAAAGGAGACTTTTAGCAGATTCTCCCTTCTGAAACGGAGGGGCCCATATTTGCACATCTCTTTGTATTTCAACACACACGACATGCACGTGTAGAGTCAATACCTCTCCGAAGCGGATGAACTTATACCAAATGAGTGGTATATGAGCCCCACGTGGGCAGTAAGGACCATGTCCACGCGTGATGCAAGCTGCTGGCGATATCACGCTGTGGAGACTCTGGAGATTGTCAGTGTCCCGGTCATAAGAACAAGCCAGAAACAGTTTCAAAAATGAAACTGGTAATTCCTTAAATCCCTCCCCATTAGTACCAAAAAAGATCTTCTGTTTTCTGTTGCTTTCTACTCCTTCTAAAGACTGAGCTTCCTCACTGTGGATCTGATGATGAGGTTCAGGACTTTGGTTTGACAATCAGTTGTCATAGAAACCTCCAGCAATCAGAGAAGCTGTTTCTTGCGTTGTGACCGGGGTGTGTAGTCTCCTCTCAATGTGTACGCATTGGTCCTACGGCATCGTGGTAACCAGAGCCCAGCGGCAGAGGGACCTCGGCCAGAGGCCCGTCGGGGGCTTGACTGGGCGGGGGCTTGAGCACTGACCGCCGTCTCAGGAGGTGAAGGGACACCCCCAGGCAGGGCGGCATATCAGGAAGGGGTCGTTTCTTAAAAGCAACAGGTTCTAGCCCACCCGTCCCGCTTGCCTTGGGGGCAGGAAAGCCTGTGAAACAGCTCGGGTGTCCGTAACTGCGGTGTATGTGTCAGAACTCTGCAGCTGAGTAGTTGAGGATCGTGGAGGAATTACACCTTTTTAGGAAGAACTAGTGTCCTCTCTCGCGGGTGGCAGAGCGGCAGCGAGGAAGGTGGCACTGTACTTGGGAACACGCGGGCTCGCTGGGCGTCACAGACCCTGTGCGGCCCTGGCGTCCTCGCCTCCTGCGGCTGCTCGCACCCCGCAGCTTCCTGTAGGTTCTCACTCATTTTGCTTTGTTACTGTTATTTTGTTTTTCTTTTTTTTTTGGTTCTTGCAAGGAATGGAATTGCAACCGCTTGCTTCCCTTCAGTACGTGGGGCGGGGGACGGAAGAGTAGCAAAACCTGAGATGTGCTTTTCCCTGAAACGGGGGAAGGGCTGGGGTTTGGACCTTCCGAATGAGTCAGAAGCATCCATTCCTGACTCTACCCGTTTCTGTAGATTTCTTCCTCCATTTCGTGTGGCGTCCCAGCTCATTCCCAGGTCTTTTCTCAGCATATCGATAGGTATGGTCAGAGCCAATTAAATCAAACCAAGCAGGGATACCAGAGTGGAGCAAGGAGATTAATGCCTTCCTTGCTTAAAAATATATATATAAATATAGATAGATAGATAGATAGATAGATAGATAATGTGACATTTTACCAACAAGGCCAACGGACAGTTCCTACAACCACAAAGTGTATCAATAATCCTCATTTCGAGCTTCATTGTAAAATTGTACAAATTCTTGTTGACATACTATCTGCGCAGAATGGTTAAATTATAAATGAGCAATCTTTCCAAAATCTTGAGCTAAAGCAAAAGAAGTTCCTCGTGAAACTCCTCTGTCCTTCTTCTCCTCGAGCACCCACTGGAAGGGGAGGAAGGGGAGCAAGTGAAATCCAGCGCACAAGTTTTTTTCTAGGCGTTCTTGCGGGGGTGGGGGGGGGTTTCAGTTGAATTGTTGGTCGGTTTGCTTGCTTGGTTGTTTTGTGTTTGCTTGAATGTTTGCCTTCAAGGTGAATTGGGATTTCCGGAAATCCGCATGCGGGGGAGGGGATGGCAGCGGCCAGCGGCATCGAGAGGAGATTATACCCTTGTGTCTTCCAAAACTGCAATTATTTGAGCCACTTGTCTCTATACAGATCTGCACTCAGCTTCAGAACACTTCGGACATCTGTGATATAATGTAACTTTTAGGAAGCTGTAAGTGTACTAATGAGAGTCATTTCACAATGAATAATAGTTACAATTTAGGTTTTTTGTTTTGTTTTTTGTTTTACCTTTTAAACACTATTTACATTTGGCTTGTGGTCTTCAATAACAAATAGTTTCCTGTAAAACTGTTACTGTGCACTTACTATTTTATATTTACATTAATTAAATCATACTAATATTCTGGTGAAACTACCCAAAAGGCAATAAAATGCTAGGCTTTTTGATGGTGTGTGTAAGAGAAACTCCGGTAAGACATTTAGAATGAGCGGCCACGACAGAATCCCAGGCTGCCTTTGGGGCTCCCACAGCTGCATCCAGTCTGCCCCTCACGCATGGCCATAATTCACAGGCTCAGGACCTGAAAACTAGATTACCTAGAATAAAATCCTAGCTAAAAAAAGAAAAGGGGGTGAGGTTTTTTTATATAAACATAAAATTGCTTCTATAGTCCTGTGAGCCCTTTGTCCCTTCCAAGTTCACATGTGTGACTTAAGAAGAAAGTCCATTAGAGTTCCAAGAGCTGGAGCCAAACGCACACTTTCTTGGAGTCGCAACTGGCTGGTTAAGGAGACATCAATAGGGAGGTGTTACTCACTGAGGAGATGTGAAGCGACCCTCCCTCCCCCAAATCAGCCTGATCACTACTTACTGACGATCTGTGCAACTGGTTTTCAAAAACTGACTCAAAAATAGTGCGTTGCCCACTTGTGTTACTGCCCAGTCTGAGCTTTATCGTAGAAATATCTTCTGGAGCTACTTTCTGCACATTGAAGAGCTGCGGTCCATTCTGGATATAGAAATAATTTTACCAGCGATAGCTTGCCCTTCTGGCACTTGGAATTCAACCGCTGACCAAAAGTCTGCTCTGCTCCCTCCTCGGCCAGTGCTGCAGAGAGCCAGTGGGGCGGTCTGGAACCCTCACCCCTTAGTTCGGCACATGCATGCACAGCATTGTCAGGTCTTCCTCTGGTTCCCAGGACAGATGAAGAAACCAAAACAAATGGTTGCTCCAGCAGCTTCTGAATTTTTTTTTTAATTTTTTATTTTATTTTTATTTTATTATTATTATTTTTATTTATTTACTTATTTATTTATTTTTTTGCCCATCTCCCCTGTTGAGAGGGATTTCCACCATTCTGGTCATTTGCTTACAGTGCCTTCTAAGAGTTCAGCTTATTTTCAGAAAAATTTCTGAATCTGTGTGTGCGATGGATCAGTGTTGTGAGGTGACAACCTCCAGCAGCGGCAAAACTGTGCATCCGAGAGCGGCCGTGCTGGGAGCTCTCGATGAGGCAGACAGGCACGGCCGACCGTTCCCACGGCCTTGTGCCCCCGGCTGAGTTTCACAGAGCGATTGTGGAGGATCGCCGAGTGGTTTTGCTCTCTGAGAAGGTCACTGTCTCATCGTTATTTATGTTGATTTCTTTGAGCAACACAGCTTGTCATGTAACACACGGGAAAACAATTATTCAGGAGCTAAGGTAGGAATAGCCTTTCTTTCCCCCCACCAGCAAAGAAAGTAAAGTATTTTGTGATTCATGATTACTTTGTTTAAGGTAAAAAAATCACCCAAAACCAAAGAAGTACCTGCTCAAGTCTATGTCACAGCCTGTCCCCTGACCCCTGTTTTTCTTCTTTATTTATCGAGGTTTCTTCGGGTTGTTAATGAATCTCCTTTGTCTTGGACGGGTAAAAGATTCATTCTCTTGACACCTGTTGTCACTTTTAGATCCCTCGAGAGCAGAAAAGAAAGAGAGCAAGTGTCCCACCCCGGGGTGTGATGGAACCGGCCACGTAACTGGGCTTTACCCACATCACCGCAGTCTGTCCGGATGCCCGCACAAAGATAGGGTCCCTCCGGAAAGTAAGTCCGTGTTCCGCCAATGCCCGTGGGGCCGCGCACACCCACGGCTCTGTCTGCGTCAGCCACGTGCCTCTGTCATTCCGTGTCAGTGCAGCCCAACCTCGGTCCTCGTCTCCCCGCCCCTTCTTGTCCACACCGGCTGGCAGGGGCTGTCCGCGCCCCTCCCGCCGATGGCCCAGGACGACCGCCCACCCCAACGCCCTCCACCCCACCCCCACGCCCGCACACACTCAGCGCTGCTTCCCGCAGCACAGCTCCCTAGTAGATGGGCTGGGCTCCATCCCGCTTCCATTTCTGACTTGCTGGGGACCTCGGACAAGTCACTTGTCCCCTCGTCTCTCACAAACCACACAAGAGGACTCAGATAGTCTCTACCCCATACCCCCTCCCTGCAGAGCTGGGGTCCCACGAATCCCTGAGAGGAAGGTCCTCTCACCCGACGGCCTGACTTCCGTGCGGAAGAGCCGGTGTTGATAGGTGCATTTTACTGCATTTCGCTTGTAAAGTCTATTTCGGGCCACGGCTGTCCCCACATTTCCACACAAGCAAACCTCAGTGTAAATCAGTGGGTGTAGATCAGACGCCTTTCCTTAGTTAGGTTCTGAGAACGCACAATTTTCGGTGAACACAGCTACACTTATTTTGGAACTGAAAGGATGTCCACGTCTCTTGTCTATCTTCTCCTCCGCACACGAAGTTTGCCATTTAAATATGACCGTACTGGTTGCTCAGGGGAAAGGCACATTTTCAGAAGCAACCAGATGAGTCTCAGGTCCTGATTCGGAGCCTGAAGTGTGTCACGGGTGTTCCTGTGACCTGAGACACAGTATTCTGGAAGGCAACATGGAGTAGCTCGGCTGGGACTCAGCAGGACGACCCGGAGAGGTCCTTGTTGAGAGGAGTTCTTGGGGGTCGTCCCATCTAAACGACTCACTTCGGAGTTCTTGAGGCACAAATCTGTCAGAACAAAGAAGTCCCTAGCAGCAGTCGAGGCTTCGAAACAGGCTTAGCTGAACATTTTCAGATGAAATATTTTTAGAAGCGCTCGTGCCTCCAGGTTTTCGGAGGGCTGCTGGGAATAAGGAGCCCGCGCTTCTGGGAACCGCCTTGTGAGTGTGCAGGGGAACGCATCCGAGTGCTTGGCCGGGCCCGTGTGTTACATGAGCAAGGAGCGGACGTCGTGTGAACGCAGCAGCTTCCGTGCCCGAGCGCCGTCTGGGCGGCCGCTCGCATGCACCAGCACACGCAGCCTCCCTCACTCCCCACATGCCCTGCCAGGTGCCATCGGCCCCGGTCCCCCCACGAGGAAAGCGGGGAGCAGATGGCCTCCCCCTCTCTTCCCGGGGGTCAGCTCGGTGCCTGGCAAACTGAAGACGCACCCCTGTGGGCAGGCACGGACTTGCCCGAGCAGAGAGCGGAGTCGAGATGGCACTCCCCGCCTGCCGGAGGCCCCAGCCTGTGTGTCTGCCTGGGCCTGGCTTCGCTGCTCCCGAGTCGGGCTGCACGGGCCGAGACCCTAGCTGGGCCTCGGGCCCTCCGTGCGCGCAGCATGAGGACCATTGCTGACCTCTTAGGCAGACCTGCCTGATGCCATTTTTCTGGATGGGCCTCCCAAGTAGAAAATCAGTTCCTTTCCCTGGCTGGGGAATTCTCCCGACTCCTTATTTTCACAGTCGAACTAGTAGAAACAGGGGCTGTGCTCCCACAGACAGGGGTCAGACCGCACCCGGGCTCACCAGGTGAGCCCCTCCACACCAACCTTGAGACCGCCCTCCAGAGCATCTACAGAAAGCCGTTTCTAAATACTTATATGTAGTTCTTTACAGTACCGTAAGAATTTACAAAGAGAAAAAATTAGAATCCTCGGTGGGGGGGGGGGTACCTTTTTTTTAGACTTTAGATTTTTTTCCATTTTTTTCTGGGCCAGCCTCCGTCAGTCCTCCTCTCTGCCCAGGTGAAGGCAGTCCAGCAATCAGTTTGCAACACGCTGCCCTAGAAACACAGATGATGCACCACTGGACAGGATGGGGTTCTGGCCCCCAAGGGCTCCCAGTGCAGCCCAGAGGGGGCCATGCACTCAAGACAGAAGGGGACCACGGTGGGAGGGGCTCCCCAGTGGGTGACTCCCACCTGAGCCATCAGGCTTCCCAAGGGACCTACAGGCTTCCCTGGGGTCGCACTGAGCTGGTGTCCTGAGGGAGAGAGGAGTGGTCCGCGGCTTGTCCAGAGGCTGCCGTGGTCAGACACAGGACGCCAGCGTGTCGGAGACAGTGGCTAGGGATGGAAAGTCTGGGATGAGTTCAAGACATGCTCCAGACACAGGCAGGTGTGAAGGAGGAGAGAGAGGAGAGAGGGAGGGGCGGGAGGTGACCCGGAGAATCCCACCTGGTGGCCGTGAGGACGCCAACTCTGCTGACTGATGTAGTGATGGAGAAGCGGGGCCCCACTAGTGGAAGACAGGATGGCCCAGACTGTTCCAGGCTGGCGGGCAGTGTGTGTGGTGCTCCCACAGGCGGGGGGCGGCAGGGGGATCCGGGGTCCACAGAGGTCAGCTGCCCAGCGGCTCCCGGGGTCCGCTTTCTCAGCCGGGTTGCAGGAACTTGGGATGGCCTCGCTTGGAGAGGAGGCATGAAGCACGAGCAAAGGCTGTTCTAGAAAGGTCCGGCCCACATGGGGAGGCATGAGGAAGAACTCCGGGGGGATGGCATCAGGGATCACTGACTGCTCTGTGGGGGGGGGGGGCACAGGAACCACCGCTGCGGTAGAGCTCTGAGGACATCAGGGGGCTGAGGGACAGGGGCAGAGCGCAGCCGCAGGACGGCAGAGCCAGGCTCAGTCACGGCCCTCCTGATGCCAGCCTGGGAAGGAGTCCGCATCTCCGCTCAGTGGGACAGACAGCAGCCGTCTGCTTGGGGTCCACGCCATGGCCAGGCGCAGAAGCTTCTGCTCTCTCCAGGGAAGACTTTATTTCGAAAAGTGTAGCATGAATGGAAAGGAAAGGCATGCTGACCTGAGAGGGATGCTGTGTCATGGGAAGGGTTTATGTGATATTGTAACAGGAAGTTGGGAAAATCGTGCAGAATCAAGAACAACGTAGGTGAATCTGGACCCCGGAAGGGAGAGTGAAGGCCAGGTGGGAGCACAGGATGAAACCTTGCATGGAAGATGGGGGGGGGGGGTGCAAGCAGGCAGGGCCCAGGGCCAGGTCCCCCGGGAAGGAGGCCTCCTGACACCCCTCCAGCAGCCTCCGACACACAGCGAGCCAAAGGCTGGCTCACCCTTGTTCCCTCCGTGCTCACCGAGCGTTGACAGGACAACACAGGAGCTACAAGACTAAAGAATCCAGAATGTAGCCAGTCTGTAAGGATCGGGACAGGATGGAGGACAGCCCCTGATGGGGACAGCATGCACACTTCAGGGAAGACAGAAATTGCTCTAGAGAAGGAGGAGAATCATACAGAACACATAACCAGTTGGGCAGACTTTGTTCTTCATGGTCCTGCTGTGATGTAAACCTCGCTGGCAGGGAAAGCTCCCCCAGGTCTTGCTGCCATGATGTGGACAGTCATATGGGACTCAGGGCTGGGGTCCTATCCTAGTGGCTTCCCTCTAGCACCTGTCACCCCCTCCAGCTCCCCCAGAGCAGCAGCTGCTCACTGAGGACCCATTAGGAGAGGACATGCAAACTGTCCAGGCCGGTTACCGCCCTGTGTAAACTCAAATACTGTCTCCTGGCAACAGACTGGTTGCCTCCTCCCACTGCAGCACCCCGCCCCCTGGTATCCCTGTGTGACTTCACAGGGAACACGACATAACACTTACTATTGCAGCTTATCCCACTGGCAGAATAACAGAATATTTGATTCCCAGATGAGAAGTCGCTATTTACTTCGTTTTGTTTAAAAATCGGGTCTGGGAGTCTCTATTCACCCATGACCACTGTGCTGTCATCATACTGTGGGTTTCTAGAACACAGGCATGTTTTAAAAATTACCCATCTACGTGCTGTTACATGGTAACCGATACTCGGTGCCGATGTGTGGGAGATGTGGGGAGGCCCTGCTTCCCTGCCTCCTCGGGAGCGAGTCGGCTACCACGTTCATGACCTCTGCAGCCCCCACCCAGTGCACCCTGCTTTGCATGCCAATGACACTGAGGTTGAGACAATCTTCTTCCTACGTGTGTTTCCTGACCATGTCCATCACAAATGTGTGTAGGACTGTCCGTTGTAAACTAACCCAGCCTTTGTTAAAATGATTGCATATTCTTGTATTCAGACCATTTCTATGTTTTAATGCTGGGCTGTCTTCTCTGCCTCTCCCTGTCAAGTTCTTGCCATGCATGAGAATGTTCTCAAGTGCCCCACTCCGGGCTGCACGGGGCGAGGGCATGTAAATAGCAACAGGAACTCGCACAGAAGGTAAGCAAAGTGCTCCTGTGCCCCAGGCCGCTGTGGGACGTTCCCCAACAGCCCCCCCCCCCCCCGCCCAGCCTCCGGAGGGAGTGTGCCCTGCACACCTTCCCGTCCTGCCCCGGGAGACAGGCCACTGTCTGGGAGGGCATCGTGCATGGGGAAGGCAAACTCTGAGACCCCTTTCCACAGAGTGGATTGTTTTCACTTGTCCCACCCACTCGTCCCGCATCCCCCAGGAGGCGCCCTCCACGGGGAACACTCAGTTCGCGTCCAGGGGCGGGGAGGAGCCGAGCTGTGCACCTTGTACAGGGAGGGGTTACAAGGCACGAAGACTGGATGGTCTGGGACCTAACTTGGTCACCCCTGAAACTCTGCCGAGACCCCAGTCATCGGTGTGGACATGACCAAAATACTAGCAGAGGCCCAAAGTGCTCGTTGGGGAACGTTTGGCATGACCGTGAGCCAGGTAAATGGGCTTGCTTGGAGTCATACTTTTGCTCTGGACAATTCCAGTTCTCTTCCCTCCTATCCTGACTTCTACTGAGCTGCTCACGGAACTCCGATCGTATCAAACACTTCTTCACCCGTAGCTGGACGGATCTGTTGGGATGGGTCTTACGGCCTCCGCTTCCGGCCTCGAATGCTCATGCAAAACTATATCCTAAATGAAGGAAACTGTTAGGAGTTTCATCTTATTTTTTGCCCGGCTGCCGGGTGAATTTGGTTACTTGTGTTAAATTCATAATGAAACAAATCGCAACCCTGTGCCCATCAGAGGCGGTCCGGCCTTAAAGGAGCGATCCGCGGTGGTAAGGCTGCGCCGAGCCTGGTTCAAAACGGTGTTTGGTCTCCTCTCGCTCACCAGTCCTGGGCCTCCCATGTCCGTGAGACGTGACGCGCTCGTGGCGTACGCATCGGACCTACGTGCAGCTCTGTGCAGACGCGCGGAGAGTAGACACCGTGACTTCCGGAGGAAGAAAGGCCAATGCCAGGGAGCCCGCACGCTGTCTGTCCCATAGAGATTTAGCTCCAAAACAACACTTCTGAGTGGTCCTAGAGAGCATCTGCTTTCGCCCGGGGACGATGTGGGCGAGCAGGGGGCCGAGAAGCCCCAGCGCCTGGGTCAGTGGTGCACCCATGGTCAGCTGAGAGTCCCCTTCACACCAGTCCACGAGCTGCCGTTCCGGGGCTTTTCAGCAGCTCGTCCCACCCCCGCGGCTCATCCTCCCCTGCAGAAGCATCCTGGGGTGGAGTCTGTGTCTGTGATTTCCACTCGCTCGTGTCCTCCTGAGGGACACAGCACTGTGCTCGCTGTGGCTGGCAAGGGCTGAGTATGCTTCACACACGGGCGGCCGTCAGGGCCGTCCCCTGGAGACCCCTGGGAAGTCACACACAGCACAACCATGGTCCTTTCTCCCTGTCCTAGCCGGCCCCTCAGGAATGCCCAGGGCAGGTGTGGGAAGCTGCTTGGGGTGCTCTGGTGCTGACCAAAGGAGAGGCAGGGAGGGGGCGACCGGGCTGTGGGCCGCAGAGCCGTGGGAGGGGTCGACTCACTGTGCTCTGTCCTCGCAGCCTCTCCGGATGCCCCATTGCTGCTGCAGAGAAACTGGCAAAGGCCCAGGAAAAACACCAGAGCTGTGATGTGTCCAAGTCCAACCAGGCCTCAGACCGAGTGCTAAGGTACCAGATGCCAGCCGGTCCTGCCGTGAGATCCACACGTACCTGACCCCCAGCACCTGGGGCACTGCGGGCACTGGGGAGCTGGAGGGCTGGGGCGCTTGAGGGCTGGGGGCCTGAGGGTTCTGGGGGACTAGGGTTTGGGGGCCCTGGGAGGTTGGGACGCTGGGGGCTGGGGGGCTGGGTGCTGCCAGGCTAGAGGACTGGGGGTGCTAGAGGGCTGAGGGCTGGGAGTTCTGGGGGGCTAGGGGGTTTGGGGGACTGGGGGGTTGGGGGACTGGGGGGGAAGCAGGGGGAGGCAGGCAGTCTCGCTCGGGGGCAGGAACACAAGTGGTCGGTAGCTCAGTTGTAAGAGCCAAGCCCCCCAGGTCCACAGGGCCTGTGTGAGGTGGGGGCCACCTTGTTCTCTGGGACTCTGTCCACCCACTGGGTGTCTTTAAATAAGAATAGACGACGTGCTTCTGGTTCTTTCCGGCTGGGAAGGTGTTTCCTTGTTCTGGGTCTGCTAGATGGAAGCAAGACGCTTTCAACCTTCATGAGATGCCCAGAGTCATCCTAGTGTAACTTGGAGCCCAGGATGGAGAACCCGCCTGCCTCCAGGCATTGCGGCGCGGGATGGTCAAAGCTTTTCTCTGTGGGGGACCCCCCCAGGGGCCAGCCCCTCTGTCCCCAGACACCCCATGGGGTTATGAGCAGGAGCCGGGGGAAGGGCTTACCTGAACCAGCTCAGTCACCGACTGTCGTGGGAAGACCTCAGGATCTCCTGGTCCAACCCAGGTTTCGGTGTAGGAAGGGAGGCTTCTGGGAGGGGGAGGAGGGAGAAGCCCCCATCCCAGATCCTGCCTGTCAGCTCTCATCTCCGCTGGCCCCCTTCAAACCCCAGGCTGCGCAGCCGTCGTCCAGACTCCTCAGTGGACACGGTGGTGCAGACACGGTCCCAGGTCTTCCCAGGGTGTCCTGCGGGCTGCAGGGCTGCCCACCTCTGGGAGGGGGGAGCAGGTCGCCCCTCAGAGGCAGCGGCCATGGCTCCGGTCGCAGACGGAACAGGGAGCACACACATGCACACCCACACCCACACCCACACACTGTTTGCAGTACGGGAGCTCTTCGGGGTAAATCTCTTAGGAAAAGGCAGTATTTAACTGGTGTGAACACATGCTTGGTTTCGTTGTGCGTTAGTTTAGTTTTCTGAAAGGATTTTACCAGTGGCTATACACCCTTTTATCCTTCAATAGAAAACTTAAAATCTTTTTTGTAAGACTTTATTTATTTGTCAGAGAGAGAGAGAGCATGAGCAGGGGGAGCGGCAGAGGGAGACGCAGGCCCCCCGCTGAGCAGGGACCCTGACATGGGGCTCCATCCCAGGACCTGGGATCATGGCCTGAGCCACAGGCAGACACTTCACCTACTGAGCTGGCCAGGTGCTCTGAAAAGTTAAAATTTTTATGGAAAATGAGAAATACTTAAATAAACAAAAACAAGAAAAACCACTTATAAGTGTACTATTTAGAGATAAACCCTCAATAAATGTTGGTGTGTGTTCTTCTAGATTTTTCTGTGTGGGGGTGCTAGCCATCTCACGTGCACTTGGCACTCACCTCCCAGAAGATCACGTTTGTTACTGGGAGGTGGGAGCCCCTCGCCGGGGCTCCGTCCGTCTGAGAAGGAACGGCTGTCAGCCAAGAGAACTGAGGACAGGTAGAGAGGGACCAAGGCTCTGGGCTTCCGTCCACATCTGCCACCTCTACTCAGACCCCAGAGCTGGGATGAGCCCTGAGGCCGTCCCTCCTGGGGACCCTCCTATTGGGTGAGCGGGCATCAGGCGGGAGATGCTGCCTTGGAGATGCTGCCGCAGACTGTGAACACCACCGCGTGTCCAGCCAGGCACATGTCATCTTGTTTGGGGTCAACCCACATCCCTATGAGTTTTTCTTTATTTCTTCTTTTTTTTTTTAAGGAAAATGTCTTACTAGCTCACCTCCTTTGGCACAACGCTTACTCTCTGAAGCCCGTGCAAAAGGAAGCTGATGGGCTACCTGGTGCTCCTCCGCGCCCACGGGCCGTTAGGGGGGCGGCTTTCGTGGGGCCGGGAAATCCCACGCCCGTGGCCTCCGCTCGGGAAGGCGGCGGTGAGCGGCAGGCGCGCCCCGACGCCGACCGGAGCCGCGTCTCACCCGGGGCCGCGGGAGAGCGAGCCGTGACTCTTTCTCGTCTGCCCGCAGGCCCATGTGCTTCGTCAAGCAGCTGGAGATCCCTCACTACGGCTACCGGAACAGCGTGCCCACGGCCACGCCCCGCTCCAACCTCGCCAAAGAGCTGGAGAAATATTCCAAGACCTCGTTTGAGTACAACACTTACGACAGCCATACTTACGGCAAGCGGGCCATAGCTCCCAAGGTGCAAACCAGGGATATATCCCCCAAAGGATATGATGGTAGGAGGTGCACACTCTTTAAGTGAGAGTCACGCTTGCCGTTGATAATGTTGTTGTTGTGTATATCCGTTTCCTACAAACTGGTCGAGCATGGGGTCGCTTGATGGGGCCCAAAGAAAGCACGCGCACAGGCCGCGCTCACCTGCGTGCCCCGAGGTGTGGGTGAGAAAGATGCCTTCCCCGGGCGCTTCCAAAGCGGCTCATTCAGGCCGCGTTCAGAGCGCGGAGACGGAGGGCCATCGGCTCGTGCGCTTCCCGATGCCGTCCTCGTCTTCATAAACTTCCTTCGGGCTTGGCTCCGGCACGGAGCCACCTGGGAATGCCAGACGTAGCCCCCAGCGCTCCTGGTCGTTGGAGAAACCCTGCATGCTCCCCGAGTTCTCAACCTTGGGTGCGCACGAGAGTCAGCCGGGGGCGCTCTGAGCATTCTAATGCCCGGGTTGCTCCTGGAACAAATGATTGGCATCCTCAGGGGGGTACCTGTGCGGTGACCGTCTCTGCGTCACCCGTGACTCAAGGTGCACTGACGAGCAGACCAGCTTCTGCTGGTGTCCGCAGGCTCCTTCCAGCAGGGGCGGGCCCTGGCCTGTTCCGCAGGAGCGGGGCGGCAGGGCCTCCCGGGGTAACCCAGCTACCGTGCCTCCACCAAAAGCAAAGAGCAGGTAGAACCAATAAAACGCCACCTGCTTCTCGAGGTGGGGGCTTACTTGCCCCGGCCGGCTCGGAGCCGGCTACCCGCTCTCCGAGCTAGCTCCAGTGGCTTCCCTGCACTCCCACGGCAAGTCGCTGAACGAGACAGGGTGAGTGCATCTCCCTGATGTCACGTGCTGACCTTACTGCGTTTCTGCTTTGAACTCTAGGATATGTGTCCTGAGTTGGCTGGGATGGGGGATGTAGACGTTTTGATGATTGATAAGTCTTATCTTGGTGTTCTGTAGCAGAGGAGAGGAGATGGCCCCTTAAAGATATTTTAGCTCTTCTCGGAAGAAGTTGTTTAATTAAAATCATAGCACACCAAAAAACTCATTTAAAGTGAATGGCTGGGGAGTCCCAGAACCTCCTCACCGTTCAGGGTGAGTCGCCGCACGTGTTTCTGACGTACTCATCACTCACCTTAATAGCAATCCGTGCGCACAGCGAGCGAAACTCAGTCGTTCTCTGGTGTGTCGCGTACTGACTCCTCGCGCGCATCCGTTCTTAACGCGGAGGAACAAACTTGTAAGTGGAAAAAAAGACAGTGGCTTAGGGTATAGCAGAAAGTAATTATTTTTGCTTTATCATAATTCACCAGTTTCTGGTTTGTCATCATTTTATCCATGTGGGCGATGGGCTGCACATGAGGGACCGAGAAAGCAGAATTCACACAACGTCTCACATGCCTCACGGCGGCCTGGGGAGGAGCACCTCGGGCCGCTTGTCTCCCACACCTGTTTGCTGCCGTTGGACCGTGCGGCCTGGTTTCCTTGACCTCGTCATTACGGTTGGACCTTGGGGGAGGTCATGGCCAGTCAAGCACATTTTCATGCTTTAACACCCATTAGTGGATTCGAAGTCAAACCTACTTGGTCTGTCCTCAGAGCGGAGTGATATTTAACAGATGAACCCTTCTGGGTGTTGGTTTCCCCAGGAACGGGGTGGTGGTAGTAGTTCCCATCCTGTGGGCCACACAGCGCTATTGTGAGGATAGGGACAAACGTGTAACGACTGCCATTCACTCTCCCCCACCCAGAAAGGACCTGTTGTCAGAAACCTTGGCTGAGCCAAACTCCTCACCTGGCCCACAAGGAAACAAGAATAGGGAACAAAAACTTCAAGAAAGAAAGGGAAGGAAAGGCAGCCTTTTACTGTAATTTACTGAAAAGAACAGCAGTAACTCCATTTCTCTCACACTAGATTCATCTAACGGACTTTATTTTTTTAAGATTTTATTTATTTATTTGACAGACAGAGATCACAAGTAGGCAGAGAGGCAGGCAGAGAGAGAGAGAGGAGGAAGCAGCTCCCCGCTGAGCAGAGAGCCCGATGCGGGGCTCAACCCAAGGGCCCTGAGATCATGACCCGAGCCAAAGGCAGAGGCTTTAACCCACTGAGCCCCCCAGGTGTCCCATCTAACTGACTTTTAAAACATCAAAGGAAATGCCCATTAAGGGTGAGAGTGGCTGGGTCAGTTTTCTCGATAGGATGTGAGAGAGAGCTGTCCCTGAAGCGAGGCACCAGGCAGCAGACACCATGGAGTGACGGCAGCGTGTGTCCACCCTGCGGCAGTGACCTCCCCCAGACTTGCTGCGGGTGCAGAGAACTGAGTCATTGCTCCTGATGAGAAACTGAAATGAGCCTGTTGCTGGGGAAGCATAACCCTTGGGAGCAGGGGGTAGGGCCACGGGAATGTCCAATAGGGAAGAAAAGGAGGATGTTTATCCCCAGTCTTCGGTTATCGCACCTTAGGTCCCACCGCCTGTGTTGCAAAGCACTCAACACACGTTGAGTTAAGTGCCTGCGTTCTTCCAGACACTGGCTAGTCGCTATCTGTCTTTCTGTCTGTCTGTCCATCCACCCACCCATGCATCAGTCATCTATTACGTGTCATCTGTCTGGCTCTTCGTTCCCTCTGGATAACAAGTGTCAAGGAGGAGCGGGGACCGACAGGAAGGCCGTGGGACGCACGCTCGCGTAGACCGTGAAGCCAGACGTCCACCGGAAGGGATTAGCAGGAGGTTCATCAAAACAGCATGAGCTTGAGTAGAAATCATGCAGAAGTAGAAGATCCATGGGTTGGTAGGAAGGACCTGTGGCCTGACGAGGTGCCTCAGAGCAGGGACAGGCACCTGTGGGGCAGGTGAGGAAAGGGCCCTGCGTCCCCACCGTGCTGAGGAGCTTGGGGAGCTCTCCCGCCGGGCGTGGAAGTCCCTGTGCGGGGGTAGCGGAGGAGGGAAGGTGGGAAGGGGCAGGGGTTCCCAGACGTGTCTCTCGGCCCTGCCATCACCCATGAGCACCAGGTCGGGGTCTCCCCAGCCCGTTTGTTACAGCGAGCTGAGATGGTGCTGATGTGTTTACACTGTTGGATAAAAAAGAAGAGTTTGTGCCATGGAAAAATTATGTCAAGGTCAAATTTCAGTGTTCACAGTGAAGTCATACGGGCCCCGGCCACTCCTGCATCTTGTCGGTGCCCGGGCCCGCCGCGCAAGGGCAGAACCGAGCGGTTGTGGCAGAAAAGCCCTGACTATTGTCCAGTCCTGACAGGAACAGCTGCCAGACCCAGTCAAGACCTCTCTGCTCGGGTCTCTGCGCAATTTATCACCACTCCGAGCTCTGCCAAAACCCAGAACCCCCATGGGCTCCCCCCGTGAGCCTCCCTGTCATTCCCAACTTCTGGATTCTCTAAGCTGAACCCTTGTGATCGGCCTGGACTTCCTCTGTGCTCCTCGAACTCAGCACCGCCCGACGTGCTCAACCTCCCACTGTCCGCCCCAGGCCCTGTCCGCGCCTCCTGCCGGCAACGGCTCCCAGAACTCCTCAGGGGCCATCTGGAGGCCCCAGGACCGGGCCTCTGGCCTCCTCACCCCTGCCCGCACCAGCTCTCCCTGGAACACCTGCCCTCCTGCCCACACCTGCCGGCGGGCTGCCCCACAGCCCGGCTGCTCCCAGAGCCTCTCGGAGCTGAGTCCTCCTGGGAACGTCCCTCCCAGTGGTGCCCATGCAGAGCCGAATGCCTGTTCCTGGCCCCGTGCAGCTCTGGGTCTCACCCTTGGCAGCCTCACAGGTAGACACCTTGTCTTCCTGCCGGGCCGTAAGCTCCTGTCCTTGGTCTCACACTGCTGTGCCGGTGCCGGCCAAGCAAACGCTGCCTGTTTGGATGAGTGAGTGGGAAACGAAGGGTCTGGGTGGGGAGCCAATGCTTTAAGTCACAGGAGCTGGCGTGCGCAGACCCCCGAGCTGTATTCTCACAGGAAAGCTCCTCTTCCAAGTAGCACTCACCACGCACAGAGCCGCGTGGGCACCGTGAGGGTCGGGGCGTGAGGGCGCACGGCCCTCCGGGTGCACCCAGGTCCCCCGCGGCGTGAACCCTCAGGTGGCGGACCTCCGTCCGGACTGTGCTCTCTGTCTGGTTTTGCGGAGGTCCGGGCTTCATCTCTTCCATTGTGTCAATACAGAAGAAGGTGGACATTCCTAGTGGGAGACGCACACGTTTAGGGAGACTCACAAGTAGGACAGGGTGAAAAGAAGGCTCTAGGTGAATGTGGTTGTTCTCATTTTTTTAATTTGCCACATTTAGCCAGTAGAAATCCCCTCAAGTCTTTCTTCGTCCTGCACGAGAGAGATAGAGTCCTGAACGGGGGGCTTCTCAATGCGGTGCAAGGCCTGGCAGGCTGCCACGGAAGCCGCACACAGGGAGGCGTGACCTCCATCCCAGCCAGGGACAGGCCAGCACCCAGGAGGACAGGGACTGGTGCTGCCTGCTGACCGATCGGGAAGGGAAGAGTGTCCTATCGTGGTCACAAGTCCCTGATGCTGGCCTTTTGAGCCATTTCCAAATAGGCGGTAATTGTGAGGGCCTACACTCTTAGTTTCATTTTGAACAAAACAAAGATGTGCTTGCATTCCGTGACAGGGCCCAGGTGTGTGGCTGCCTGTCCCGCCTGTGTCTCCTGGATCAGGCTTGTCTATAGGCGTCCCCAGGTCACTCACTTGCTAGTGCCCTGCCCAGTCCTACCAGACTCCAACATCTGGTGAAGGAGACACCCTTTACCAGAAGTCTGGGGCCATGTGCTATGCACACATGTCCTGCTGACGTTCTCCTAGAAACTGAAATATGCTTATTTCAAAATGAAATGGCCATTTTCCGTATTTATATGCATCCCATTACTTTTCTGAGGCAGCGGCCAGCCCTCGTTAGGGAAAAGAATCCTCAAAAGTACTTTTGCGTTTCTCCCACGATTTCTGTGGTGTAAAGCCACAGACGTGAGTCCCAGGGAGACTGCCACGAGCCACAGACTCAGCGAGGTTCCCCATGCCTGCTGTGCAGGTCCCGGGGGCCTGCCTCTCAAGGGAGGGTCTCTTTCTGGTCCCCCTGCATTGCTGCCTCAGCCCCGTGGGACGTCTCTGTGCTCGGACCCCACACTGTGCCCGCAGCTGCTTACATGCGTGCACCCACGGAAGGATGAGGAAGGGAAGGTCATGTCCTAGACAGACCAACAGGTGTACTGATTTGTCCTCGAGGAGAGAGACCCGGCCGGCACGGACTTCTCCGTCTGGGGGGTCTGAGTGTGTGCAGCCAACCCTCTGGTCCGCGTGAGGGGACCTCCTTCAAACTGCCATCTGCCTGGCAGTGGCTCAGTGACTTTCAGTGGGGGCTGGGGTGACACCTGGTGCCAGCATCACTGGGCAGCCCAGTGGTGGCAAAAGGGAGGGCGTCTTGGGTCCAAAGTGGAAAGTTATCCATGATGAAAGCTCATCACAATGTTCACGCGCTCTGAATGCGGTGCTTTGGGCAGTTTCTTGGTGTGGCTCATGGTGACTGACCGCGGTGGCTATGTGGGGTCCACTGTTTGGTTCTGTGGTGTTGGCCCCTTCCTTTGGGAGGAAAGCACTGTGCACATCCTCCCAGAGGGGTACTCAGGTCACAGACCGCTAGGGACAGTGTCAGACATGCAGGGAGAGCTGGCTAAGCTCGCTTTGGAAAGGACATTCGAAGAGGCATGGGGGGTCGTGCAAGAGGGGCTCGCTGGTGGAGTCGAGGACACTGTGAGGGAGACATCTGTGGGGGGCTTCCTGCACCCCTGGCTTCACCTTGGCTGCTCCCTCCCTGGGCAGGACTCCAGGGGAGACCCGTCCGCCCTGCAGGGGACACCCTGTGACTGTGCTGCCCTTGGCAATGGCCACGGACCCCTAACAAATCAGCCACCAGGGTTTCCCATGCTGTGGGCCAGAGGAGACTTCCAATCCACCATGAAAGCAATGTTTGCTCCAAGTACCCGTATGCTTCTGGTGACTGGGGCTATGCCCCCTGTGTCCTGTGAGCCAGGCTCCCTGCAGGGGACAGTGTGTGGGACAGCGTGTGGCGTGCACTGCCCTGCGTACCTTGGGCCCAGCTGTGCCCACGGTTGTGCACTGTGCCACTTCCTCCACGTGGCTCTCGATGCGACCCCCAGGGTGGGGCTATTCTTGGGGAAAGGGGTGCTTCCCTCCTGCGTGCCCAGCGGGCTGCAGAGGCCCCTCTGGGCTGAAGGGACAGCCAGTCTCTGGAGGGAGGAGGTCTGTGGGCCCGCACCACCCGCTGAGCTGACGGGCAGTGAGGACCCGGACACCCGTCCTTCGGCCTTGAGCCAGCTGCCACTTCTGTACAGCAGGTGGCCAAGTCCCCATCAGGTGCGGCCGTAAGCAGACGGCCAGAGGCCCCACTCGCGCACCCAGCTCTGCCCGGGAAAGGCCAGACGGGCTCTTCCCCGCCACCGCTGCGGGTGTCCCCAGGGCCGGTGGGAGGGGCGCGGTGTGGGTGGCGGGGCGCATGCCCCGTGTGCTGTCGGCCAGCAGCGGGGACCCAAGTCATCGCCGTGCCCGTGTCTCCCCAGCAAAGCGCTACTGCAAGAACGCCAGCCCCAGCAGCAGCACCACCAGCAGCTACGCGCCCAGCAGCAGCAGCAACATGAGCTGCGGGGGCGGCAGCAGCGCGAGCAGCACGTGCAGCAAGAGCAGCTTTGACTTCGCGCACGACATGGAGGCGGCGCACATGGCGGCCACGGCCATCCTCAACCTGTCCACGCGCTGCCGCGAGATGCCGCAGAACCTGTCCACCAAGCCGCAGGACCTGTGCGCCACGCGGGTACGCCCAGCGCCCGGGGGGGGGGCATCCCAGAGCCCGAGACCCCGCCCCGCTGCCCTGGGCAGACACCCCACCTGCCAGCCTGGGGCTGGGGCGCGGCCCAGAGCTAAATCCAAGGCTAGCGTGCACGGGCTTCTGTGGCAAAAGGGGAAAGTAAGCAACCCCGTCCCATCTTTTTTTTTTTTTTTTTTTTTTTTTGTTCTATTAAAGCTAAGACTGAGAGAATTTAGTCCAACATGATGCAGGCCAAATTTGTAAGCAGGGGCGCTCCCTGGCATGAGGGGCTCGGGCACAGTAACATTGGGAGGTCTCGGGGCGGCAGCCTGCGTGGGGCCTCCCCCCGAGCCTCTGCCCTCCACTCCCGACGTGGGAGGGGGCAGTTTTCTCGCCGGCGCTGAAATCCAATGTCTGCTCTAGAGCGCGTAACCCTCCGGGGACACAAGTGGAGGGGTGTCGGCAGGATTCCCCGCTCTGTCCTGCATGTGTCCTTCCTTGCCTCCCTCCTCTAGAGAGGCGAGCTCTGCACACTTCTTTCTCTGTTGGAAAGCATCATTTTAAAAAAAGAAAGAAAGAAAGAAAAGAAAAACTCACCCAGTACCTCTATTTTTGTAAGTCAGTTGGGTAAACCACAAGCTTGCTGGAACAGAGTGGGTCAGACCGTAAGCACTGCAGCAGGCTTCCTTGAACTGATTGCACAGCCCCTCCCTTAAGCCCGTCGGCACAGGAGTTCGTGTTGGAATGTGAATTCTGGCTGCTTCTCCCTCGCCCCTCCATGCCTCTCCCTCATCTCGAAGTGTTCGCATCAGTGAAACTGAAAAAGGATTGTTAAGCATAAACGCGTATCTAGCTCTGATCTCTAAATGTTATTTGAGCTGGAATAGAATGGAGATTAGGTCCCTGTTTGATTTTCTTCTGGCTTATTTCTAAAAGCAGGGATGTATTGCAGGGAAAGGAAGGTAAAGAAGGATGGTACGGGGGGCGCCTGGGTGGCTCAGTGGGTTAAAGCCTCTGCCTTCAGCTCGGGTCATGATCCCAGGGTCCTGGGATCGAGCCCTGCATCGGGGGGGTTCTCTGCTCAGCGGGGAGCCTGCTTCCCCCTCTCTCTGCCTGCCTCTCTGCCTACTTGTGATCTCTGTCTGTCAAGTAAATAAATAAAATCTTTGGGGAAAAAAAAAAAAAGAAGAAGGGTGGTACGTACACTGTAGATGTGTGAGATAGAGAAGAGCCAGGTGGGTAGACAGACAACGGGTCATCAGCTGGTGACTAGCGGCGTTCCCCTGCCATCCAGTGCTGCGGCCAAGCGCAGGCCAGCAGACATGTCCCAAGGGACCGCTTCTGCTCCCTTCGGGAGTCCATGCATGGGAGACCGAAGGAGGAACCCGAGCTTGAATTCTGCATTGGCTGAAGGCAGGGCGGCGGCTGGGCCTGCGTGATCAGTATGTCTCTCTGTCCCGCAGAACCCTGACATGGAGGTGGACGAGAATGGGACTCTGGACCTCAGCATGAACAAGCCACGGCCACGGGAGAGCTGCTGCCCTGTCCTGACGCCCCTGGAGCCCATGTCCCCCCAACAGCAGGCAGTGATGGGCAGCCGGTGCTTCCAGCTGGGAGAGGACGACTGCTGGGAGCTGCCTGTGGACTACACCAAGATGAAGCCTCGCAGGGCGGACGGCGGTGACACTGCTGAGGTCCCTGTATGTCCCCTCACTGCCCGCTGGTTTGGGGTGTGCAGTCGGGCGTCCGTGGGCTCCCGGGGTATGACCTCAGCCAACAAGGGCTGACCACACACTTTGCTGACCAGGGCGAGATTTTTCATGAATGCTGATTTGGTGAAACAAATCACAAACTCTCTATATGTCAACAGCAAGCCAGTCCATTTTTCCGGTGACGTGTTGCTATAAAGCATGGTTCTCCTTGCAGATAGGGAAGTGTACATCTTAAATACTTAAGTGATTAGCTACGAGTTATTAGTTAGCTAGCCCTTTGAAACTAAAGATAGTTTCTCTTCTCAAAGAAACCCAAAATATTCAGAGGGTATACTGCAGCCCTGAAAAAAATTCGTTTTAGTACTATCGCCTAAATCTTTGTTGAGCGCAGTATTACCAAACACCTCTGTCAAGAACATATTTTTAAAATACAGATCTCCCCTGCAATCTGAACAGAGAGCTTGCCTACGGAAGCGTCCCTAAGTCGAACGGCATGATTAATTGATTTAGGTAGAAAATATTTTGAGTGTTCCCAGACCCCAAAAATTACCTCTCAGGTTTTGAGTTTCTGAACCTTAGGACACACATTGCTAACAGATGCACAGACAACCTGAGATCAAGCCCAGATGCTCCCAGACACTGCTCTGAGCTCTGGAGCTGGACGCCAAGATGCTGAGCCTGGTTTCCGGGGGCAAGTGTGTGACACTCCCACAGCTCGCCGCCAAACCAGCACGTGGATGCTACGTGCGCTTCTTGCCTTTTGTGTAAAAGCAAACATCCTATTTGGGTTTCTTTCTTGGCAAAAGCAGGTAGTAAAGTAGGTCTTTCATAAGAGCAAAGTGGTGCGTCATGAGCTTTCAAAAAGTGGGGGACACCTGTAGTTACGATGGTCACATTCACGTTACTAAAATAGTTAAAATATCCTCTGGGCTAAGAAAAGAAATGAAGAAACGGTTGTTCTTTATTGTACTAGCTTTTTCTCCAGTGTTCAATTCTGAAAATTATGACATCTTCTTTATTCAAGGAAAAAATGAAAATCCTTTTTAAATACAATAAGGAGACCACCATCAAAGCAATAGCTTCTTAGAGAAACAAGGAGGTGCAGAAAAAGGGAGCATTAGCTATTTGTAGGATTGGCGAGAAAGCCACCTGGTTATAAGGCCATTACAACCTAAAGCCTATTATCTTTATTCTTCTAATTGATTTAAGTATCCAGGCACTGAGGAAGAACAGAATCTGAGTGGCGAGGAGAATTCCACAGTCTTTTCTCTCCTGCAGCGTTAAGTCCTTGCTACCAAATAAGGCATGGCGGTTGAGTCTCTGAATTTATCTTAAGTAAAATTAAACCCTCTTAAACGACAGAAGTGTCTGCATCATACAGACGGTCCCAGAAGTGGAAGCGCTCTCCTGCCTTCGTGGGACGCGTCTGCGGGGTGTCGCCATCTATGGGAGTTTCTTAGTTACTGCAGGGCCGCTCGCTATGGGCCCGGGAACGCTGCGTTGGAGTAGCGAGAACCACGACATGCAGCTCCGAGGGTCTTGCCTTGCCTTGGGCCCTAATGCACACTCAGAATCCTCCCCGATGGTTGTAAAAGCCTCATCCTAAAATGCCTGTAGGGTTCGTGGTGGGGCTTTGCTGGTCTGTGTTGGATGAGAGGGGGTGAACCCCAGCAGGTGCCCCCAGACCCTGAAGGAAAGACACTGGCTGAGAAATGGTGTCTCTGGTTTCCAAACCAGTGGCCTGCCCCCTCCTAAGTGCCCCGGCAGAAATCCCGAGTAAGGCCCTGTACACCGACAGGTACGCATTTAGAATTTGGGGGCAACTTGGTGAGAGACTGAGGAGCAGAGTCCGGGCCGGCCCTCTCAGAAGCCCCCCGGGCCCAGGACAAGGGTGCGGCCGGTTTGAAAGTCTCGGCGTGTGGAAGAGGGGAGCGCGCTGAGGCGGCCGGCCCCGGGGCCGCGTCCGTGCTCTGCACGCAGCGCGGTCCCCTGCGCAGCCCTGAAGCCGTGTTTTGCCTGCAGCCGGAAGACTTGGACCCGTTCCAGGAGGCTCTGGAGGAGAGAAGGTACCCGGGAGAGGTGACCATCCCCAGCCCCAAGCCCAAGTACACCCAGTGCAAGGACAGCAAGAAGGACTTGATAACGTAAGCACAGCGTGCACGGCCGCGGCCGCGCCTCCGACTGTCCCTCCCTCTGGCTTATTTTTAAAAACCGATGTGTCCATGCCTTGCCGTTGGAGCATGCGACGTCCGCAGCACACGAGTGTCTCCGGCTGCCGGTGCGGCGGGGCGGGGGGCCGCGGGGCGCGCCGGCTCGCAGGGCGCTCTGTGTGGTGGCGCCGCCCCCGCCGTCTGTGCTCGTGCGTTTGGCAGCTTCCCCGGACGCCTGAGTCCCGGTGCAGACATTGCAGCTAAACTGGAAACAATGAAACTTTCGTAAAGTTTTTTTTTTTTTTAAACATACTTACTATTCTGGCTGTTTTGTTTTTGTTTGGTGGCAGATGTCCAACACCAAGGTGTGATGGGAGTGGTCATGTGACTGGTAATTACGCCTCACATAGAAGGTGTGACTTCAGTTTTCTCATGGTGGATTCTGTCTTTTCGATTTATTGTTTTCAGCTTACCTCAACAATGCTGTCGAAGTACCAACGTCGAATTTCGTGTCAGCCCTCCAAGTGCTCTATGTTGACCTGCAAAAGCCGCGCGCGCGTTGCACAGGCTTCCCGTAGGCAAGGAAGCCGCCACGATTGGACCGTTCTCCAACGTGGAAACCAAAGAGCGCAAATATTTTCATACTATTTTCCAAAAAGTGTTTATGAACAGACACATCTTCTTCAAAGAAGAGAGTTAATTATACCAAAAAAAAAATATATATTCAATATACAGCACTTGCCCCATCGCTTTCTGCATTAAACTTTTTAGTTTCAACTGTATGTCGTGTTTGTCCGGGAGCGTGAGCCGGGGGGCGGCACTCACCTCACTCTTCTGGCCTGTCTTACAGTCTGTCGGGCTGTCCCCTCGCCGACAGAAGTATCCGGAGCATGCTGGCCACCAGCTCGCAAGAACTCAAGTAAGATTTCATGACAATCATTCTCCTAAAGATGTGTCACCTAGTAGTAGCACATGGCGGTGTCCCGTGTGAACACAGCCGTCTTTAAACAGACCTGCTGTGCACGCAGCACCTCGACACCACATGCGGCCGGGTCCTCAGGCCGTCGGTCACCTCTCCGCACAGTCTGTCTGCCTCTTCCCTCTCCTTGGTCTCCAGCGCTCTCGTGCCATAGCCTTTCTATCCTGAACGGTCTAAAGCCTCAGCAGTTTCTGTCCTGACACACGTGCGCACGGAAGGGAGGTTAGACGGAGGTACTCGAACTTTCAGGAAGTGATTCCAACCTAAAAAGTGAAGGACTGACTTTTTTAGAAGTTGTAGTTCATATGATTATTTAATATATGGGCATTTAGAAAGCACTAATGACAGAAACTCTCCACGACAATAGCTAATTCCCTCCGCATGCTGCGGTCCTCGTCGCGGCTCCTCTAGGGCAGCATCAGGTCACGTCCACTGGCTCGCTGATGGGGACGGTCGGGTGCTCCCCGGCACTCAGACACCCGCCCTCCAGCCGTCTGCTCTCCCGTCCCCTGTGCCTTTAGCGTTTTCTGTATTTTAAGCATAAATCTGATCACTTACATTTATATCCCCAGACTGAGGTCTTCCTTCCCTGTATGTACAGAACCACAGTCTGTTCCTACGTGGGTTTTGGGAGGCATCCGTACAAGTCTCCGAAAGCGGGTAAAAGCCTTCGCTGCTCCAGTCAGAGGAGATAGAGGGTGTGTGTCAGGGAAGAAGGGTGAGACCTGAAAGTAGTTTCACAGCAGAATGAGAACCAAGAACCCCAGATAATTCTTCTGTAATTACCTGATGGGTCATAAACAGTGTCACATCCAGCTGCCTGGCTTCCATTTTGTTTGGAAACTGCTTTATTTCCAAAGCAGAAAAAGATGCTCCTTGGAGCCCCTATTAGATTCCTTTCCCAAGGATTTCACTCCACATCCCGTCCCACCGCGATAGACCAGGGCTGTCTCAGAGTACAGGGCTCCGTTTCACACCGTGTCGTCTCTTACAGGGTCCCTGTCCAAGGCCCTAGTGCCATAGATCACCTGCTCATGCTCAGTGGCCTCCTGAACTAGCCCCTGCGTCACAAGACTCTTGGCGTCTTCTCCATGGCATGTGCACGTCCGGAGTGCGTCCTCTAGCTTAACGGTTTTAAAGCCTGTAGCATCATCCCCGCAGTGCCTAATGGGGAAATAGCTCTTAGGACCTCACAACGGACAGACTTAGCAACAACAAGCCAACCCACTTTGTTAAGACATCTTTTCTCATGGCTTAAAACCGTACTCCCCTCATGATCAAAACGTGGTTAACTGCACTTGGAACGTGGCCAGCACATCAGACCATGGCAACTTCTCTTTGAGTCTCTTGATGAGGTGAGGAAGCCTTTGCAAAAGTCTGGCCTTTGTCCAGCTCCATAGGCCAGCTGTAAACAAGAAAGAGCCTTTGCACAACGGCCATGTAGGACTGCTCCCTGCTGGCTAGCATCTCAACACCCCCGGAGGCCAGAGTAGTGTTCTGAGAGCCTGGTTGTTGCTGGTTTTTGTCCCTTGGCTCTGAGCAGAGCTGCCACTTCTCCGGTTCCAGTGCTTTCTCCTTCTCTCGTTTCATCTTGGAAGATGGCATGGTGGTCCTCCCATCCACATCTTTGGAGGGCAGTGCTTGGCCTTCCTGACCTGCAGGCTGGGGCTGGAGGGTCCGTCCTCTCATCCTGCCTCTTCCTGGTTGAGAGACTGCATCTTCAGAGAGGGACGGCCTTTTCCTAGTTGTGGTGTGTCTAAAAGCCATACTCATTTGTAGACTTGTCTTTGCAACAAGTGAACCCCAATTTGATTGATCCTTCCCAAGAAATCTAAACTTGACCAGTTTTCTGAAGCTTTGAAACCGTGGGTACCAATTAAATGTCTGCCGTCAAAAGTCCAATACTTAAATGACTGATTTTACTTGCTAAGTCTTTCTAAATGGAGGACACCATAGATTACAACATGTGTTTTCTTTTAACCTCTTACTTGACAAGACCCCTCTATTCATGACCTTTAATCTGAGTCGCGGAGGCCTTGTAGGTGGTTTTTCCTGCGTCGGGGCATAGGATGGCGCCATCGAGATCTAGAGCCGCTTGCTCGAGAGTAATCACACGTGCGCTTCTCAACAGCGCGTCCTTGGACGGAGTCGGGTGAAAGCCCGCCGCGGCGGCCGCCTCCGAGACAGTAAGAGCTCGCTGTTCAAGGTAGATGAGCGATTTCTAATTCTTCATAAAGACGTGTTAGGCAGGGTCCCCATAACCTCCCAAAAGTCCTGTGTTACGGAATTTTCTGGAAATGTTCTTCTTGTCACACTTGACACTGAATTTCGATAGTTGGCCCTTAACAGGACAGTCTTGGTCGTGGAAAGAGGAGTCGTGCTGGAGAAACTCTTGGTGTTGGATCTTCCAACCTCTTAAACTTCCTGAGGTAACGCTTCTCTCTGATCTTCTCCGGGCCGGCACATCTGGGATGTTCTTAAAAAGAAGTGGGTAATTTCATGTCTAACTATGCACAATATGTAAACTGAAAATGTATTAAAATTTAATGTGTACATGAATACCATCCAAACGCTGAAGCTGCTGCTTTCCCTGCTCCCTGGCCCATCCAGCCAGGGCCGGTGGCTCGGGAGGGAAAGGGGCGCCAGACCGGGAGAGCTGCGCACCGTGGGGAACCCTGCAGGTCCGTGCCACGTGTCACATACAGTCCTGCGAACTTCCTCCTCCGCGCCCCGATTCCCAGACGTGACACTCCCTGAGACCCCAGTCCAAAAAGCTGGGGGGGGGGAGGGCAGTGAATAGAATTGTTCAAATCACAGTGATTTTTCAGTAAGAATTCTGCCTAACAAGAGCTCTGACTCTGAAGGGAAGTTTCTTCTCCAAAAATTCCGTTTGCTAAGATTACCTGAAGGGAGCAACGGGAAGGAGCTTGCCAGTCACCTCCCGTCATTGTCGTCCTCTTTTCCGAGAGCCCATGTCCTCCCGCCAGGAGCCCTCCAGCGTCCAGATGTGCCGTCGCTGTAGACACGGCCGTGCCGGAGGTGCCGTAGCCATCTGAGGCTCCAATTTAAGCCAAATCAAAACCGATTTCAATCAGAGGCAATTAGCTCTAAAACGGGCCCCCAGATTGGCTTCCGCTTACACTCTGGTGGCCAGATTTAGACGCGTCTTTATGATCCGGCTCGTTCTCTTGCCCAGCGGCAGCTCCTGCCACCAGTGAGCTCCGCACAAGAAGGAGCTGCCACCGTCACTTCTTGACTTTTGAACTTGCGCGTCCTCAAGCGGGGTGCTGGGGGCCCTACGGTTTGGCTCTCTGCCCTTTGGAGAGTTTTCCGGTGGATTCTGTAAGCCTCCAGGCATCACTAAGGCGCCTTCACCTGGGACAGAGAGGAATGTTAGCTACAGCTACTGCAAAACTTTTTTTTTTTTCAACATGGTTACATTTATTTAAGTCAAAGAATTAAAATTCAGACCTCGGGCCACACTATTACTTTGCTTAAAAAGCTCCCTGTTTCTAGAACTGGCTGGGGCTTAGCCGGCTTGGTGGCGGGGCCATCCCTGCCCGGGGTCCCGCCGCTGCCATCGTTCACTGCACGGGAAGCACACCCGCGCGCACCAGCCCTCACGGAGATCCTCGTCTCCGGCATCTCTCGCCTGCCTGGGTCACGTAGTAAATCCATAGCCGTGGTGAGTTCCCGCCACCCCCGCCTCGGGCCTGGCTCCTTCAGCAGAGGGCACACCGCCTCCTCATCTGGGGGCGGCAGCCGCGGTGGGAGGCCCGCTCCTCGGGGACGGGAGGGACTGCAGGGCTGCGGGCTCCACGCAGCAGGCAGGCCGGTCAGATGCTGTCTTCCCCTCCCAGGACCCCTCGCCTCGGTTCTCCAACTCCTGTCCTGCAGCAGGCCCGTGCCAAGAAGCCGGGTGTGTGAGCTGGACTGTGCGTGGCTGGGAAGTGGATGTGGGAGTCACTCTGTGGGTGACTGTCCGTGGACAGGAGCCTCTGCACACAACGTCTCCTCCAAGAGAAGCACGGGAAGGGTTAGGTCCATTCTCCAGGCGTGGACACTGTGGGATGGGAGGCTGGGCAGCTCAGGGCAGACCACGGGCTGCCGGGGCCTGAGCGCCTTCCCTCCACATCACAGGACCTCCTCCGATCAGTGGCGTCGCAGGGGATCCTTGGTGGCAGGCAGTGCAGGGTCCGATGCTGCCAGCAGCAGGACCCATGGCAGCTCACCCATCCTCCCCGGACACAGTGTGGGCTCACAGCGCACCAGGGCTGCGCGGGCCCCTGTCCCCCCACAACCCCCAGAGAACATACCTCCGCCATAGAAGGGTTACGAGGTCTGCGCCCCAGCGTGTTTGTAAAATAGCCTAAGAAGTATTTTGTCGCACAAAGATTTTTTATTTTATCGTACAAAGTAGGACTGATTTAAAATAAGTGAAATATATGAACTATAGGGAGGCACAGTACAGCTGAGCTTCTGAGATAAGAGTGTTTGGGGGTGACTCCAGCCAACACGCAAGGACACAACACACACGGATGACATGCACACGGGTGAACACGGGTGGACACGTGGACGACATGCACACGGGTGAACACGGATGGACATGCGGATGTGGGTGCACACGGGTGAGCACCTACACCGATGGACATGCGCGTGGGTGAGCACACTGGTGGACACACAGGCATGAACACACAAATTCCAGGCCAAGAAGCCTGTGCCCCTCAGTCCCACCTCACGGAGACTCTCGAGGATGGGGAAGGGTCACTGGAAAAGCCACTCTTCCTCTGTGTCTGCAGCCCTGACACCACCACCACGAACACGGTGGGAGGGGGGCCCTCGCTGACCCGCGTCCTCGGCTGGCAGCAGCTCCAGCTCCGTCCCTGGAATGAGCCCCTTCCCCTGGTGGCCAGCATCACACCCACATTATTAAGTAAGAG